GTAATAATTTTATTGAAAGAACAGGAACTTCATTTTACAATCTTAGAGAATCTTACAAAAAAATTAACTATTATTTATGTATAAAGTCCTCTAAATTAGTGTTAAAAACCTTTTACAATGTGGTTTTACTTTAGTCAAGGATTTAATTGATAGAGAATTTAGACGAGTTATTTTCCTTTTCAAGGTACATTTGAATGTGTGAGTGAAACTATGTACAGCCATCCCACCATATCTGTGGGGGATTGGTTCCAGCTTCCCACCATCTGAAACACCAAAATCTACTCAAGTCCTTATACAACATGGCATGGTATTTGCATATGACCTGCACACATCCTCCTGTATACCTCAAGTCATCTCCAGATTACTTCTAATATCTAATATAATATAAATGCTAAGTAAATAGTTGTTACACTATTGTTTAGGAGGAAATGACAAGAAAAAAGGCTTTGTATGGATGCAACGTTTTTTTTTTGTTGTTGTTGTTTTGTTTTTTTTGGTGCTGGGGATTGAACTCAGGGCCTTGTGCATGTGAAGGCAAACATTCTACCAACTGAGCCCCTAGAAACCTTTTTTTTTTTTTAATGTTTTTATTAGTCAATAGTTTTTGTTGTTGTTGTTGTTGTTTTGGTACTGGGGATTGAACCCTGAAATGCTTAACCATTGAGACACATCCCCAGCCCTTTTTATTTTTTAATTTAAGATAGGGTCTTACTCAGTTGCTTAGGGCCTTGCTAAGTTACTGAGGCTGGCCTCTGGCCTCAAACTTTTGATCTTTTTGCCTTAGCCTCCTAAGTCACTAGAATTACAGGTGTGTGACCACACATAGCCCAACAAAGGAATCTTAAGCCTCCTATGAAACCTATAGAAATTAGACAAAACCAATGTCTGAAAATATATCGTAAATTATATTATTTTCATTAAGCAATCAGGTGTATGTTATATATATCCTGGTGATAAATCTTATCTAATAAGCATGTGCACCAGTCCAAGATGGAATGAAAATAAATTAACATTTATAAGGAATTATAATTTTCGTTTCAAGGGATTCTAAAGTTTGATTCACCACAAAATACGGAGAACTTCCATTTTATTTATTATTTATAATTTTTTAGTTGTATATAAACACAATACCTTTATTTATTTTTATGTGGTGCTGAGGATAGAACCCAGTGCCCCATCTGTGCTAGGCAAGCACTCTACAACTGTGGTGCAATCCCAGCCCAGAACTTCCATTTTAGTTTCAAGTGAATATGGAAGATATTAGAGGTTATTATGGAGATCATAAAAGCACCTTTCTGTGTTTCAGTAATTAAAAGCAAATCTTTGTTTAGTTAGTTTTCAAAAGTCTACCAAGCAAAAACATTTAGTTTCAGTTCCTGTTATAATTCCTTTCCCCCAATCTACCATAGTCATTAACAACATTATACAGAAATGATCCACAACTTCATCAGCTTTAGTGTCTCCACAAGTTTCCATACAAAGTCAACTACAATCTCTTCTATAAGTGCCAATTTTTAAGAAAGTGACTAAATCAACTATTGCAGGGAGTTGAGCTAAGAAATAAAAAATGTCCTGGACATGAACCTAAGGGACAGGCAAGAGGAATTTTCAAGTTGTGTGTTTCACAAGGGACTGTTAAACAAAATTATGGGAAGCCAATTGTTTGGCTTGAACTCCTGCATGAGGCCTCAACAGACCAAACCAAAACAGAATCACTCAAAAATAGCATAATCAAACTGAAATGTTAAGGAAGCAGAGAGATATCAAAACAGATCAGTTTTTCCTAAAAACAAGATTTCAGTTTACCTGAGTGACTGATAAGGAAGGTCTCTGTTTAGCCTTTTTAAAAAAATAAATAGCCTGACCAGACATGGTGGTGCATGCCTGTAATCCCAGGAATTCAAGAGGCTGAGGCAGGGGTGGGGGATCGCAGCTTCAGCAACTTAGCAAGACCCTGTCTCCAAACAACGACACAACAAAATGTCTGCGATGTAGTAACCCAGTGCCCGTGGGTTCAATCACTGGTACAAAAACAAAACAAAACAACAACAACCCTGAACTAACGTGATGTTGGCCAGTTGTTTTCCATTGTTGTTTCTTTGTTCCCATCTTAACAACCCACTCTTCTGCTATTTATTGCGCAGTTGGAGCTCTCATTCTATCTTATAGCATGGAGGCTGCCCCAATTCATGATTCTCAAGTGAAAAAGTTAAAAATCAATTATAATTAAATTAGTCCTTATTATTATTTTTTTAAATGGTGGTACTGAAGTCTTGAATTAATTTTGAGTCAGGGTGTTGCTAAGTTGCCTAGGCTAGCCTGGAACTTGCAGTCTTTCTGCATCAGCTTCCTGGGTTTACAGGGGTTTGACACTGCCAGAATTCTGTCTTCTCACAGGACAAAATTCACCCTATAGGGTATACCAAAGAATGCTAGTCCTAAGTGTTGTTCCACAAAATGTGTAGGAAAAATTATTCATGATATGTAGAATATTTTTTAAAAGCTGAGGGATTCTACAATCGTCCCCTCCATACCCAATATATCTGTAACTTTAATAAAATTGTTTAATATTTGACTTCACAATCCTTCTGGCCCACTAATAGTCTGCAACGTTAATGTGTCTCATAGTTAACTGAGAAACCATGTAAATTCTGGGTAATGTGCCATTGCTTTAGAATCTATTAAAAAATTATGTAGTAGGAGAAATCCATCAAGGCAACAGGCAGAAAACTTCTCAGGTGATATTTACTATATAACATATATATGTAAAGAAAATGCAAACAATGTTAACACAAAAGGACACTTAGTTATTTTTACTGGCATGACAAAAGCATAATGCACATATACAGTTTACCAAATTTGTTTGAGGGCTGGGGATGTGGCTCTAGCACGCTCCCCTGGCATGTGCCGGGCGCTGGGTTCGATCCTCAGCACCATATAAAAATAAAGATGTTGTGTCCACCAAAAACTAAAAAATAAATATTGAAAAATTCTCTCTTGTTTGAGAATTGTGTGCTTGTGTGTGGGGGGGTGGGGGGGGGGCTGGTCAAATCCAGCATCTCATGCATGCTAGGTAAGCACTCTACCACGGGGCTACATCCTCAGCTCATTAGATAATTTCTTCATTCCTCTACCACCACTTCACCCAGACCCTTTTCACTAGAATGGTGCTAAGTGTAAATCTCTCCCAAGGCGACCTTCCTTATTATGTCTATTTTTTTCTCATCTAGTGCTTCCTAAACTTAGTATTCATATGAATCACACAGGGATCTTGTTAAAAATTCAGTCTTTGGAGTTAGGGTCTGAAATTCTTCATTTCTAACAAGTTCCCAGGTAATAGTGATGGAACCACATTTTGAGTAACAAAGATCTAACTCATTCTACAAGCCATTGCCACTTTATTGTTCCTAAAAATCACCGCTCACATATTACTGCCTCAAGAATCCACTTTCACTCTGTGAATTATGTATAAACCTCTATACTCAATACTAGTCCAGAATTTCATCTGGACAAACCTGACTTTCCGACTTCTATATTTGTTGTAACCCAGCTCTGTTTTTTAGTTGCTATTTTGTTTTTGAGATAAAATATACATATGGCACTGTACATGTTTTTTTTAATATTTTTTTTAGTTGTCAATGGACTTTATTTATTTATATGTTGTTCTGATAATCGAACTCAGTGCCTCACACATACTAGGCAAGTGCTCTACCACTGAGCCACAATCCCAGCCCAGCACAGTACAGATTTTAAATGTAGAATTCAATCTGTTTTGATAAATGAACATCCAAGTAACCACTACCCCCTCAAAAAATACAAAACCAGTCCCATGTTTTGGCCCAATGCTATAAATACCTCCATGAAGACTTCTTTCCTTTCTTCAAAGCCCACCCCCAAATTCACTCATACCTTCATCTAAATGATTATCACTTTTAAGGCCCAAACATCTACATCTGTGTCTCTAATCTTGTGCCCCTCTCTCCCCATATTTCTTTAATATATATATTTTTAGTTGTGGATGGAAACAATACTTTTGTTTGTTTTTATGTGGTGTTGAGGATCAAACCTAATGCCTCACACATGCAAGGCTAGCGCTCTACCACTAAGCCACAACACCAGCCCTCCTTCCCAGTATTTTATCCACAGATCAGAGTGATCTTTTAAAATTTTAAGTCAAATCGGTTTAAAACCTCCAATGGCTTACTGTCACACTTGTAATAAATTCAAACACCTTTTCCTCCTCTAACTTCATATTCTGCTGCTTTCCTGATTTCTTTCTGTGCCCTGGTCATATGGAACTTCCTCCTGGTCCTACAATACAGAAAGATTTTCCTACCTTAGAGACTGTGCATGAATTATTATCCTCCCTATTGTACCCATCACTTTTATGACTGGCTACTTTTTGTCATTCAGTTCTCAACTTCAAAGTCATATCTTCACAGGAGGCTTCCCTGACAAAAAATCTCAAGTATATACTCAGTTACTTTAAAAAAAAATCCTACTTTAATTCTCCACACAGCATCTATCATTGGTATATATGTTCTTTATGTGTTTGTTATTATCTTTTCTCAAACTCTGAGCTATATCCCTAGTATAAACTCTAGCTGGGGATATGGCTCAATGGTAGAGTGCTTGCCTTGCATGCACAAGGTCCTAGGTTTGATCCCCAGCACCAAAAAAACAAAAAAGCATAAATTCCATGACTACAGAACTTATTAATAGTGTTCACTGCGATAACTCCTGCATCTAAACACTGTCCATCTCATTATAAGTAGATCTTCAACAAATGTTTTCTATATAAATATGTGAACATGTATGATATACATTCATACTATGAAGATGGAAATTGTGCCTGGTTTTCCAATATATAATCTCTCATGGGTTCTAAAAAGGATAAAAAGCTATTGCTATTAATCAAACAAGATAAGTCCTTCAAAAGAAAGAAAGGGAAGGAAAGAATTACTGTTTTAACTTGTTGCAAAAATAAAACACAGGTTAAATCAAATTTTAATTCACATAAATTTTTAATCAGTCAAGTTAATGAAAATATCAAAATTTCTGAGTTAGTGTATGGCAGCGGAAGTTTAACTTTTGTTGCAAATAATACAGTATTTGGTATTTCCATCATCAACAAGCTATGCTGCAGAAAGAGCAATTGCATTAAATCTTAATTCATCAGGGTCACGTTCCATAAACTTCTTGCAAACTTCTATGGCATCCTATGGGGAAAAAAAAAGTATAACTTTTCAGTTTTTAAATATATGTTTTACTTATGAATGATAAATAAGAATTTCATATTTTTTCTGGTACTAATTTTATACTGCAGACTTATTTTTCCAAATAAAAAATACAAAACACCAAAAGACGGAACAGTTGGTGGCCCAACTTGCTTAGTACAAAAGTGTAAGATATAGCAAGTATTCTTTCTTAAAATTTTTACCTTTTAACCTGAAAATTACATATTTCACTGATTCTAAGCAACTTGAAAGAAGACTGAATATATATGATATATATTCATACTATGCAGATAGAAATTATGCCTGGTTTCCCAGTACATAATCTCTCCTGGGATCTAATAAGGATAAAAACAGCTATTGCTAGTAATCAAACAAGATAAGTCCTTCACAAGAAAGAAAGGGATTTAAAATCTTATAAAATCTCTAAAATTTGGATCATGATACAACTCATGGTATCTTGGACTCAAATACAGGATACAGTGAATGACTCTTTCAATACTATTCTTGTCTTTTTTAAATTTAACAATTGTTCACATAAAACACAAGCAACCTCCTTATCTGTTGTAGATTTTAAATACTAATTCAAATTTTTGTTTTTTAGATTTTCTGAAAAGAGCAAGGACAAAGAAACATCCAGACTCAGAGAAAATATTATACAAATAATCTTTAGAGATGTCTTAAAGATGATAAGAATATCATTTATACTCAAAATAGGCCAACATGTTTTATCATTACCTCTAATAAAGTTTCATCACTAGTTTTCCCATGGTTAATTGGAAATGGTTTCCGTCCATCTGTGGAAAATAGACAAAAAGTTGAATGCTTAGCTGTTTTTACAAGATAATGGACTTTACCTCACACTTTCCTCTTCCTGAGACAAGAAAAGTTAAAAGATACATCCTAAAACAAATATTTTAAATGTGTAACCATGAATATTTTTTAACATTAAAGGTTAACAGAATACTCATTCATTCATTTTGCAGTACTGGGTATGGAACCCAGGGCCTCACACAGGCTATGCAAGTATTCTACTAATGATTTAAATCCCTGGTCCTTTTTAAAAGTTTTTTATTTTGAGGCAGGGTCTCACCAAGTTGTTGGGGGTGGCCTCAAACTTTCAATCCTCCTGCCTTAGCTTCCTGAGTGGCTGGGTTTATAGGTATATACCACCATGCCTGACCAAGAATATTCTTAGCACCTTGTTTCCACATTTAAAAGCCTAAATTATTTTTATGAATAGAATTTATTATAAATGAATATTGGTTTTAACTTCCTGAAAATATGTAAAATTAGTAATTTGGGGGGAAATTATGAACTCAGTTTTTATCCTCAGAAATATAAAAGATATGTATTTTTGCTTTAAAACTAAATCAGAAGATCTTAAATAAGACTGTCAAGTTTTTTTTAATGAAGGGAGTTATACTGTCATAGCTTATGTATTATTACTAACTATGTACCACAAATACTGTAATATAAAGCAACAATTTAAATAACCTACAATTATTTTACTGACCACCAAAACAACTAACCAAATTGACAATCATCTTGAATAAGCTGGTACTTTTTTAATATTATGAAAAAAATAAAAAGTCCAGAATCATAAAAATTCTTATTAACCCAAAGTTAAATGATACCACTTTTTATGCAAATGTATCATCTTAGATGTCTAATTTAATTGGTACTTAATCAAGTTCAATCCACAAAACACAGTACTTTCTTATAATACCATGGTTTCTAAACAATAAAAATTTCTGAATCAGGGCTGGGATTGTGGCTTAGTGGTAGAAAGCTTGCCTAGCATGTGTGAGGCACTGGATTCGATCCTCAGCACCACATAAAAATAAATAAATAAAACAAAAGTATTGGGGCTGGGATTGTGGCTCAGTGGTAGAGCACTCGCCTAGCATGGGCAGGACCCGGGTTTGATTCTCAGCACCACATTAAAAAAAATAAAATAAAAAGGCATTGTGTTGTGTCCATCTACATCTAAAAAATAAATATTAAAAAAAGAGTTTAAAAAAAGCAAAGGTATTGTATCCATGATTTACAACTAAATATATATGTGTATATTTTGAAAATTTCTGAATCAATATGCACAACAATAGACTTGGATTAACAGATACTACTATTAAAGAAAAACAAGAGTGAAAATGAACAGATATAAATTTCCATGTAAAGTGACATTAATTTAATCATATCATCAGAATACATGCTGCATATTTTTGGACTAAGACATGTAGTTTCAAAATGCTAAAGAAATAATATCCTTACATTACAGTGCCTGGGACTTAATTCTTCTTCTTCTTCTTCTTCTTCTTCTTCTTTTTAATTTTTTAAAATTATAGTTGAACACAATACCTTATTTTATTTACTTTTATGTGGTGCTGAGGATTGAACCCAGTACTTCACATGTGCTAGACCAGTGCTCTACCACTGAGCCACAACCCCAGCCCTTAATCCTTAAAGTCTGTAAAAACCAAAAGGAAATACTTTCCTCTAAGTAAATATTACGTATGAATGCTTAGTTATCCATATTTCTACAAAACATATTCTCTTTATTAATTGCATTATATATTTCTTAATAATACATCATAGAACAACTCCTTAAAATATCCTTTTCTAGCAAAAGCTTATTCCTCAGTAGCTCATTTATTCTAAAGTTATAAGACTCTATTACATTCTTTATGTGCTACCTTCATTTTATATTGTTTTATCTTTTAATTTTTACATAAAAGCAAAAGTATAATAAACATTGTAGGCTACAGGTTTTCCCTCCTTTCTTTTTTTTCTTTTTGATACTGAGGACTGAACTCAGGGGTGTTTTACCACTGAGCTACATCCCCAGACCTTACTTGCAATTCTCCTGCCTCAGCCTCCCAAGTTGCTAGGATTACAAGTGTGAGCCAGTATGCCCGGCTGGTTTCCCTTTCTTAACAAAATTTTTTATGTATGTATTTTAATTATTTAGTTTTCCTGGTTCTCATCACTCATTTCTTCATTCATTAGAACCTACTAAGTGATTTTCTTTCATATGCAGATGTTGTTTAATGTAGAATTACTTTCAAACATTATTATAGACTAAGATTATTAAATAATTGATCTTGAAATGTCAAAAGAATATAAACAAAATGAAAGCATGTACTATTTTGTTATAAAAACAGTTTAGAGCAAAGATTAATTATGATTTTTATTATGTTTCTAGTCTTGAGGTTGTGCTAACAATAACCAATGGTACAAATCCAGCCCCTTAGCCTATTTTTATACCTTCCTTAAAAGTGGTTTTTACATGTTGAATAAGAAAAAAAAACAGAAGAAGGAGGAGAAAGAGAAGGAGAAGGTGGTAAAGGAGGAGGAGGAGGAGGAGGAGGAGGAAGAGGAGAAATGATAAAATAATAAACAAAACCTAAAACATTTGTTACCTAGTCCTTTAGAAAAAAATTTGTCAAAACATTAAAATGTAAAAATTGCCATTGTTTGGTTGGAACAATGGCAGTTTTTACATTTTAATGTTTTACATTTAAATGTTTTACATTTTAATGTTTTGGCAAATTTTTTCATAGACCATGAAACTTCCATTTCCCAACTACTTTGGGTGTAATTTAAGCAAATGCCTATCCTAGAGAAGAACAAATGAGGTTAGAGACCATCACACCATACAGGGCCTTTTAAGACCAGTAAAAATCTGTATATCTTGTACATGGGTCCAGTAACTAAGACCCTGCAACTTTGGTCCAATTGGGTTGTTCCACTTATAGGCTGGATAGGAAAGAAGACAGCAGCCTAGTTCATTAGCAGTGGCTAACCAATTCATTCAAATCTTGTCTTTTGGATAATCTGATCACAAGACCCCAGAGATAGCTGCAGGCAGCAGAACTGTACAAAAGATCTTATAAACACCATAAAACAAATGAGAAAGCCTAGTATAAAATATCCTCAGATATCCAAGATATCCAAGGCTAATCTCAGATATCCAAGGACATCAATGATGGAGCTCATAAAACTATACAAAAAAATAAAAACTTTGAAAAACACTGCCTAAGTGTTAAAATGTGATATTTTAAAACATAAAAGTTCAGAGAACAGATAGGTGTGGTGGTGTTCCCAGGGACCCTGGAGGCTGAGGCAGGAGGATCACAAGTTTAGTAAGCCTCAGAAATTCTGCAAGACTCTCAGTAAGCTCTTAGTGAGCTCCTGTCTCAAAATAAAAATTAAAATAGATTGGGGATGTAGCTCAGTAGTAAAAGGCTCCTGGGTTCAATCCCCAGTACCATAAATTCAGAGAACAGTGGGCTGAAAGTATAGCCCAGCAGTAGAGTGTATGCCTAGCATGCATGAGGCCCTGCACCAAAAATAGATAATAAATTAATTCATTTAAGTTTTTTAAAAAATCAGAAAACTAAAGAGTTCTTTAAAATTAGAAATATGATAAAAGGATTTAGAAATTTGTAACAGATTGGAAGAAAAGTTCCAGAGACCAAAACAAGAGACTATGATATACAGGAAAGAAAAGTTAAGGAATTCCAGAAAGACAGAATAATGAAAAAGAGAAATCCAATGGAAAAAACAAATAATTCCCACATTGAAACACAAGAGTTTCTAGATTGAAAAGATCCCCTGAAGCCCGAAATTGTTGATATAAACAGACCCAAGCAAGACATATCATCAATAAAGAGAAATACCATGATGATAATGTATACAAGGCATAGAACAGAAAAGAGAGCACTGAGAGAGGTATCGCCCAGAAGGCAAAGTTAATAGAATGCCAGATGTTCCAATTTTAAGTATTGAGAGACTCAGACCAGTGAAAAAGAGCCCAGGAGAAACTTAGCATTAAGTACATTAAAATAAATAAATAAAAATTAAAAAGTCAGGCATAGTGGCACCAATAATCCCAGCAACTTGGAAGGCTAAATCAGGAGGATCCCAAGTTTAAGTCCAGCCTGGTGAATTTAGTGAGACCATCTCTCAAAATAAAATATAAAGGGGTTGGGATGTAGTTCAATAGTCGAGTAACACACACACACACACACACACACACAGCAAAATAAAACCATTATTAACTGGAGAAATAAAAAGGAAAAAAAAGTATGTTATGGCTCAGCTGAGAATAATGTTTCTGTGGTAAAGACAAACAACAACCCTAAGTATCCTGGGAAAATAGCAAAAAGAAAAGTGTGCATTTCTTTGTGATTGAGAAAGAGAAATAACTAAAGAGGACAATAAAAGAAAGCTAAATCCTTATCTTCCATTTGGAGAATTCAAGAAATAAAAATTAGGCAACTACTATCTGCAGCCATTATGGAACTATTGGTGTTAGATAGGGCTTCCACTAGAAACAACTAAAAGCCTAGGCAAAAAATAAGCCTAGACTTATTTTTAGACAATGGGGAACAAACTGCCCATAACTATAAGTACATCCTACAATAATACTAGCTTTCTTCTGGAAACATTTACTGAACACCACTGCAGAAAAGAGACACTCAAACACAGCACAACTATTTCAATGAGTTAAAGAGAAAGAGAATGTAATTCAAGGAGGCTAAGGCAGCTGAAATTTGCAAATGACCAGAAAGCAAGCTCTGGAGAGCTCTTGATTTCTCTGGGACAGGCTAGGATTGGTGAGGCAGATGAAGGTGGTAAGCAGTGGGACTGGTGTGGCCAAGAGGTTGTTTGCGACTGGTGTGGCCAAGAGGTTGTTTACATAAAGGGTGAATGGATAAACCAGAAAATACACAAGGGTCATGGGGACGAGATTTTTCAGCTTCAGAAAAGAGTCACAAATGTGGAGAAGAACAAAAGAATAAATCTATGGCATTACATTAGAAATAGAAGTGTTTTGGTGTTTTTTGTTTATTTTGTGATGTTGAAGAATCAACCCTGGGCCTCATGCATGCTAGGCAAGCACTCCATCATTACTGAGCTACAAGTTCAGCAAAGAATGAGAAGTATTAATATAAATGAATAATTGTTAATATACAGAGGCTAGAAATACATGTAATCGTGTGCATGCATACCCATATTCACATATGCATGTGTTTATATATAGTACATAAACATGTTTTCTAGCTGTATTCTCTGGGAGGGCTTAGAAGTATTGATACCTTACTAGCAGTGAGAACATCCAGTATGCTAATCTTGGTTCTAAACACTATTTTACATTAAAAGGAACACAGGTTCCTTAGAGAAGAGGCTAAATATAGGACAAACAGAACAGAAAATAAAAGAAGAGACTGGAGCATCCTGTTTCAACTGAAAGAAACTACTCAAAGAGTAACAATGACATATCAACAAGATGCAAGACTCAGCTTCTCTTCAAAGGCCAAGTCTGGGATGAATTCAGCATCAAAATATGAAATGTAATATCTTCAAGCCCTTTTTTCTTGCTTTATTTTTTAATGTTTTATTGCTTTATGAAAATGTTTAACCCTAATAACCCTCTAGATGACCTATACTATGTAAAGAAGCAATTGCCCTTAAACTGTACTCTGGCTTACTTTTCTATTTTACAATTAAATATCTTTTCCACATTAAAAAAAAAATATATATATATATATATATACACACACACACACACACACATACATACATGGAATGTAACGGGCTGTAACTTTTTAAGTAAAGTGTGAGTTCGGGGGCTGGGGATGTGGCTCAAGCGGTAACGCGCTCGCCTGGAATGTGTGGGGCACTGGGTTCGATCCTTAGCACCACATAAAAAATAAATAAATAAAAATAAAAAATAAATAAAGATGTTGTGTCCACCGAAAACTAAAAAATAAATATTAAAAAAATTCTCTCTCTCTTAAAAAAAAAAGTGTGAGTTCATTCTGACATAGATGAGTGAATGAATGAATGGGAAAAAAATGACATTGGAGAAATGTATTTTTTTTTCTTTTTTTAAATATTTATTTTTTACTTTTAGGTAGACATAATATCTTTACTTCATTTTTATGTGGTGCTGAAAATAGAACCCAGTGCCCCACGCATGCTAGGCAAGCGCCACTTGAGCCACATCCCCAGCCCCTGGAGGAATGTATTTTAAAAATCACCTTAGGAAGGAAACAAGAATGTAAAGAAAGAGCTTACAGAATGGAAGAAAATCCTGGCTAGCTACTATTTTGACAGAGGATTAATACGCAGAATACCAAAAAAGCAAATAACCCAATTAAACAGACACTTTTCAAAAGAATATATACAAATGGCCAACAAATATACACCATTAGTAATTAGGGAAATGGAAATCAAAACTACCCTGAGATTTCATCTCACTCAAATCAAAATGCCACCAGAAAGAATACAGACAAGTGGAGAGGATGTGGAGAAAAGGAACTATTTTACACTACTCATAGGATTGTTAATTAGTACAACCACTATGGAAATTGGCATAGAAGTGCCTAAAAATATTAGCAATAAGTCAGATGTAGTGGCACACCTGTAATTCCAGTGGCCTGAGAAGCCAAGGCAGGAGGAACACAAGTTCAAAGCCTCAGCAACTTGGCGAGGCCTAAGCAATTTAGCAAGACCCAGTCTCAAAATTTAAAAAGGGCTGTGGCTGTGTTAAGCATCACTGGGTTCAATCCTTAGTACCAAAAAAAAGAAAAAAGAATAGGATATGACCCTGCTGTTCACTCCTGTTTAATTCTTAGAGAATTAAAGTCATCATACTATAGCAAAACATGCATATCCATGCTTATAGCAGCATAATTCATAATAGCCAAACTACGGAACAAACCTAGGTGTTCATCAATGGTTGAATGAATAAAGAAAATGTGGTATCTACACATAATGGAGTTTTATTCAGCCATAAAGAAGAATGAAATGAAATTATGTCATTTGCAGGAAAATGAATGTAACTTGGAGAACATTATGCTAAGCAAAATAAGCCAAACTCAGAAAGCCAAGAGTTATGTTTTCTCTCATATGTGGCAACTAAAGAGGAAAAAGGAAAAGAAAGGTCGGAATGGATCTCACTGAAGGGAGATCAGTAGAGTAGAAGAAAGAAACCAGGAATAGGGAAAAGGCAGGGAAAGGGGAAATACTAGGAAATGAAATTGGCCAAACTGTATTGTTAAGATTGTGTGCATGTACAAATATGTAACAACAAATCCCACCATTATTTACAACCCATATGTGCCAATAAAAATATGGGCAAAACAAGAAAAACAAAAAGTGGCATATTAATACATACACAACAAATGAGAGGTAAGAAAACTAAAGATCACAGCATGCAGAATTACTGAAAAGAACATCCCCTTTTTGTTTCTTTATTCGTATTTTTTTTAACTCAGAAGGTCCTATAGAGAAGCATAAGACTCATAATTATAAGATTATGTACACCAATCATGAAACATATATAAGGAGTTTCTTCCAACTGAATAACTCAGTTAAAATTATGAGTATTTCCTGGCATATGCCCTGAAATAGTCCAAATAACAGTAACATTAAAAGAAAAAAAAAAAGTTCAGACATAGGCCAAAACATCAAGTAACTAATTATGGTACTTTGACATAAATCCAAAGGAACCATTACCAGAAACCAGAGACCTGTAAAATCTTTTTTAAAATCAGATAGCCTACCATAGGGACAGTATAATGGATTAAAAACTAGTAATATTTGTTATTGAATACAAAACCTGGTCTTGATGAATATTACACATATCTTTCAAAAATAAAGGCAGTTCACCCAGATATTTTCAACAAGTAACTCAATAATTTAATAAGGATGATTTCCAGAAGTTTCCTGTAATGATTACTTTTCTGCTTTGCTAAAATGCAAAGACAGTATGTAAACTTTCTTGAATTATAAGATACTTGAACATCAAAACAATTATTTTTTCTTAAAAAATATTAAAAGGAAAACTGCCATTATGTAAACTCAATTTTATAGGGTAATCAATTAATTTAAGTAAACACAATATATATCAGCAGTCCTGTTTATCATAAATAGAAACTTTCCCATTTACCATTTTTCTCCCCAAGATAAATTAAAATAGTTCTTACCTAATTCATAGAGGTGCCCATCTACATGTACTAATGCAATAAAATGAAGATCTACTTTTTCATCTATACTTGGTGCCTGAAATAGGAGGGAAAAATACGTATTATATACATTAGTAGTCAAACAAATCAAGGGCATATATACATACACAAATAATACCAAGTGACTGAACATTTATCCAATATAACTCAAGGCTTAATCCTTGATATGATGGACAGAGTGACCATGCTTATGACAATGTGTTCATCCATCAATAAGGAAAACACAAACTAAAAGCATATTTCTCTTAGTCTCAATTGATCTAAGTCTTGTTTACCTTAGAAACCCTATTGTCAGCACAATGCCTGGTATATTGTATGTACACAATGCATACTTGTTTGAGTAAAATGAATGTATGAATGAATTGTGTAATTTTTAAAATTTAAAAGCCTTGGGTTTTAATAATTCATAAACTAAAGCAACACAAGTTAAAATTTAAGACATCAAGAAAGCTAGTTGGGCTGTCATATTTAACAAATTAGAATAAATAAATAAATGTTAAAAATAAAATAAGACATTTAATACAAAAATAAAAAGACTAGGAAACAAAAACAAAAGAAAGCTAGCTGGTTTCCTTAATGACTTGAATTTAATAATATCATTTTTTGAACAATGTGGAATAAAAAATCATAAAATAAGTATCTGTACTCATTCTAGATTAAAAAGCTTAAAAATGAATAAATGCAGGGAAATACCCTTGAAGACTAAAAGGGGAGAAGAAAAGAGGATAAGAACAAATTAAGATACAATACGGGGCTGGGGTTGTGGTTCAGTGGTAAAGTGCTTGCCTAGCAGATGTGAGGCCCTGTGTTCGATCCTCAGCACCACATATAAATAAATAAATAATAAAGGTATTGTGTCCAAATACAACTAAAAAATACGTTTTAAAAAAAAGATGCAATGAACTGGGCTGAGGTTGTAGCTCAGTGGTAGAGCACTTGTCTCACATGTGTGAGGCACTGGGTTTGATCCTCAGCATCACATTAAGAAATCTAACAAATAAAATAAAGGTATTAAAAAAAAGAATTATAAAATAAGAAGAGAGAAATGAAATTTAAAGAAAGGTACAATGAACTGTAGCCAGGACTTTTCTCTTGCTTTTTTTGACTTTTTTTTTTTTTTTTTTTTTTTGGTGCTAATGATTGAACCCAGGGCCTTATGTTTGAGAAACAAGCACTCTACCAACTGGCTATACCCCAGCCCTATTTTTTGGACTCTTAACAATTTGAAATTTAAACTATACCTAGGTTTTATTAAATTTACCAAATTCAATTTGCATAAGTAATATTTACATATCTTAGACATTCAAATAACTGATGTAAAATTGATACATCGATTAACTGATACTTTCTATGATATGTGCAACTAGTACTAATATATGTTAGCTATATATCAAATCTAAGTGATTTGAAATGAAATACAATCACTGTTAAATACAGGTGAAACAAAAATTTTAGAGGTAAAAATTTTCAAAAGGCATAAATTTTATCTTATATCACCTTAAAAGTATCTTGACTTAAAAAATACACTTTTTTTCATGCTCAATAATAATACATATTTTCTATTAATTATATGTGGAATTTTCTGATGCAGAAATTAAAAGGTAGAGATTAAATATTACTATTTTATTCATTACTGTATTTTATTTTCTAAGATTTATAGAATGCTTCTAAAATATTTGCCAATACAGTGTCTCATCTAATCAGTGTTCTACTGAGATTATTTCTCTCAAATTATAAATGGAAGAAATTGGCAAATATGGCAAACTAGCTCCTCCTAAGTTCATCAAGAACTAAAGAATTACACAGTAGAAATCAAAGTTTTTATCTAGTTTTACTATTGCACCAACATAAGACTCCTCTCTAGTGTGGTCGGCTATTGTGGTTGCTCCTCAAATGCCTGGTAAATGCAACAAAGTTTTGAGACAGTCCATTCTATCGTTAACACATTTTTGTTAAGAGTTTTCTTACAATGAGACTACAAAAGGTCTCCTGGTATTTTCAATCATCTTGGAAAAAGACCTAATCCTTCTTTAACACAATAAATTGTTTTCAAATGTGTAACGTCAGTGATAGTGAGTTCCCTTACTTTCCTGGTTAGGGAATAAAAAAAAAAAATTAGTAATCAGTTAATCCAATACCTTCATTTCATCCATAAATACAGGAGAATCCAATTTTTCAAGCCCAAACCTAGGCAATCTACAAATTACAAATTCATTTCTGTAAGAAAAATGCTAAAAAGAATTCCTTATTAAACTAGGAAAAAAATCTTCTTTTATTCATTTTAAGATAATTTTCCAATGACAGTATAAAGGGTTTAAAATCTTTTGAACTATTGTGTTTTCATAAATTATTTTAACATCTTAAGAATTATATATTACATAGCTTTTGTTTTCCATGTTTTGCCAGTAAATACAACCATGCTAGTGGTAAAGACAGTATACTTGGAGTCAGAGAACTAAATACGTGCCCAAATCCAGGAGCCTTGCTTGTGTTTCTATCCATTTAGAGGTTTAAGCAAGATATAACTGTTAAGTGTGTAATCTGTTAAGTGTGTTATAAATCTTATATAATATTACAATATTAATACAAACACTTTCACAAATATGAGCAGTTATCAAAGTAGTGACTCAAAATTTTGTGACATTGTTCCTTTAACCAAAAATGAATACTAAAAATATAAAACTCTACAGTGGGTATGAAAAGCCTTCAAACTATTATAAAAGATTAGTAAAGCTCAAAATGTTTAAGCCTCTACAAAACCTAAATCTTCATTTTAAGACTTTTCCTTTAATCAACTTCAATTAATCTATAATTTGCAATTATTCAACTGCTTAAAAATTATTCCACTAAAACCAAGAATCAAAGAAAATCCCAACAAGTCTTCTATTGCAAAAAAAAAAAAAAAAAATGACCAACATATAACTATACAAAAATCATAAAACAGAGGCTACAGATTGGATCATTTGCCTATATTTATATAACTTTAAGTTTCTATTTATATAGCTTTAAGTTTCCTAGTTTAGAATATAATACTTGTCTTGGTTAAAAAGTGATACAACAAATCAATTAGAAATCAAACACTAAGTATAAATTTCACATTATAAAATACAGTTTAAATTTAATGGTATTTAATATATACCAAGCACTGTTCTAAGTGCTTTTATGTTTTATTGACCAATGAATCATCATACAAACCCCAAAAGGTAGGTAATATGATTTTATCCATGTTACTCTCAAAAAAACTAAGAGAACATTAAGTAAATGTTCTAGGTTACATTGCTAGTAAATGATGGGATTTAGGATAAAATCTAGGCAATGTGACTTCAAAATCTATGTTCTTAGCCACTATGCTATGAAAATACTTATAAAGCTATAAGGAAATAAAATTAATATGTGCAAAGATCAACATTACATAAAACCATAAAACTGGAAATACCAAAGTTTATCATGTGCTCATTTACATTTAGAATGGTTTTAGTACAAAACAAATTATTCCTATGTAGAATTAAATCAATTGTACCCCAGTCGGAATTTACAAAATTATGATCTTATTCTATATATCAAGTTCACCTTGTATTCTCACTGTGTTAAACAACATATAGTATAATACGAAGCAAAAAATATCAAATGGATGAATGAATAAAAATGACAAATGAGTACGGTAACCCAATGAGTGTAATGAAATAGAGACACCGTTTGTTGATACTCATCACAAATGGAAGGCTATTTGATGATTTTGCTGATAATTGGTGGAAGCAAATGTTTAAGGAAAAGTGTCAAGACTCCACTTTGCAGTTTGAGTACAGCTCTAGAAGGGTAAATAGGGGGAAGAAAGAATCTTTGACGTCATATTTTAATTGTTTTAAGAGCTCAAATACGTGCATAAGCTTATACTAGCTTCAAAAGTCATGATGATTTATAGAAATGTCAAGTTTCTTATAAATGTATGGCACACAAAGATTTCAGATACTTCATTTTTAGATAGACTGCCAAACCACAGTTATTGCCTTTAAAAGTATAGAACATCAGAAAGACAAGAACTGTACTTGCTTAATTCTGCAGTTTATTTCCATTGTCAGAATTATTAGAATTCCATTGTCAATCTCAATATTTAAGATAATTAGGAAGATTACAAGAACAAATGTACTTTTTAATAGTTTGCTAATCTTTTTAGCCTATAAAAGTGAAATTATAAAATTTGCGGGAGGCCTACATTGATACACAGGAGAAAAATCTTCACCTCCTACTTGGAAAAGATCTTCAGAAATTAAATAGACAGGGAAGATCAAATCAAGATTAAACCAAGTACCTGAGCCACCTCAGGGAATAAAACAGCTTAGATGAAATACCCTACACCATGAAGGATTTAGATTAAGGATAGAGTAAGTAAAGTGACCCCAGAGCATGGCAAGAGACTAATGCTGTACTCAGAAACATGAAAAATAAATAAATAAAGCAATAGATGGCAAAGAACTCAGAAGGAACACAGCATTTGTTGACCCAAGTCAACTAAATGAAACCAGAAAGCTGAAGGGTAAGAAAACACACATTCACCTTAACAACTGATAGGAACTTAAACATTATCACAAATGTCGATCAGGACTCATCAACAGGCAGGAGCCCTTATTTTTGCAGGGTATGGAGTGGAAAGATGAATGTTCACCAAGGCAGTGGTGAAAGTCAAGCTAGACTGCAAAGCACAGAGTTATGCTTGCAATCTTACTGGGGGAGAAAAAGCTAATGGTTGAGTGAACCAAGAGAAAAGCCCTTTGAAGACTGAAGACGTTTAAGGGGGGAAAATAAAAGGACTGCCCTTGCCACTGGAAGAAGAGATGGAAGATTGACTACACTTACAACAGAATGGAGACCCAAAGATGGTAGGCGTAAGAAGGGTCGCCAGCGACGAAGACGGAGAGATGGACTGGTAGCCTTTGCAGGGCCTACATGGTTACGTTTGACCCAGGGCAGGGATGCATGGTGACACAATGATGAGGACTTCGTTCTGCAGTGGCTAGAATGAGGCTGTGATGAGGATGGCGAGGAGGACTACATAATTAAAAAAGAGAATATTTTACTTAGACCACGTTACTGGGTGATCATTTTTTTCTTAAAAGCAACGTATGGTCATACTTGTATTCATATGATCTAGTAACAATCATATAGTAAAGGATCACATATGAATATTGTTTAAAAATGGGTAAAGTGGAAATATATAATCAAGTATCAGGTTATATGCCATAGTTTCTTATATGTACATTTTAAGTACTGGCATATCCTCATCTGCTATACAGCACAGATTCATGGAACTGAGTTATTTTAAAGCCACTAAAATGGAATCATTATATTAGATCGTTTTTAAAACTGTAACACACCTACACACACACACAAACACATAACACATACAAAACATAAAAAGAATAATGGGCAGAAGAAAACCATATGTCAATAGGCATTGGTAAAATTCCTTAGAGGGTAGAAACCAAGGTGTGTGTGGGGGGACTTTAAAACCTAAATAAGAATGAAATGAACTTCTCTAAATATGATGACCTGAACTATCCTCTTATTTAGGCTGATAAGCTACCATGGAATTATCATGGACTATTAATCATCTTTTAGTAAACAATAGTATCAGTTAAAATATGTATCACTTATTTTATGCCAGGCACTGTTTTAAGCACTTTACACACATCAATTCATTTATTCTCCAATGGCCTGTGACATAGATATAACTATTCCCATTTTACAAATGAGAAATCAGTGCACAAGTAGTCTAAGTGACACAACCAAGGTCACACTGCTGCAAGTATTAGGGCTGGGACTAAATCCCAGGATATCAGGTTCTAGATTCAATGATCTTACTCAGTATGGCATACAGACTCTGATCAAGAGAAAGATTTTTAATGCTAATTTATGAGATTAGAGTCTACTAAGCAGAAGAGTGATTCTAATAAAATTAGATGTATGGGGAATAACCTTTTCAAACACTACTTATACCAAAGCCAAATCTGGCCCAATAGTTTTCCACAAAATGTACATGGATACAAAAACTAATAATAGTGGTAACCCAGATGATCTTACAAATGTCACCTTGAATCAATAACACCACTATATTAAATTAAAAATGATTTAAAGCAATATGATGAAATTATAATCAGTAAAATCATAGTGAGAATAAAAAAGAATAGTCATAAGGCTTTGATAATAATTTCACTAACCATGGTGTAGTCTGAGTTTGCTCTGAATGATTCTAAAACTTTTTTAAATCTTTTTTTTAGTTGAAGATGGACACATCTTTATTTTTACGTGATGCTGATGATTGAACCCAGTGCCTCACACTTGCAAGGCAAGTGCTTGACCACTGAACTACAGCCCCAGCCCTCTGCAACTCTTTTTAAGTTGGTACTTTTGATCTACATAAACAATACATTAACCTAAAATAAAACTATCATTTTGATGGGGGTTTTAAAATTTTGTGAACAGCTGCTCATAAGAATCAATTAGAAACACATAAATGATCCTATACATGGTTCTATGTTGGAATAAAGGTACATATAACAAAATGTCTACTCTCACAGACATAGTCTAATCAGAAATTTGTTATATTCAATCTACATTTAAATAGGAGGAAGAGGGAAAGGGAAATTAATAAAAGGAAAAAAGAAATGGAGTACAGAGAGACAGGAAGGTAGAGTTGATGAAGAAGAACAGAAAAAAATTTTTTCTAAGAATCTGAGGAAGACACATTACTAAAAGAGAGTTATAAACTGAAAGAATGTGAATGGCACAGGTAAAATTGGAAAGGTAGCTCTGGCAAAGAATTTAATGTGAGAAAAGGAATGAAAAGAGAAATAGCAGAACATGTTCAGAAGACTAGATTGTCGGGTCTGGATTTCATTTTACTCTTTCAGGCTAGCAAATTGGCTATTACTTTTTCATAGGTGTTAGAAAGACATGAGACTCCTAGATCAGAGAAAAAGAACTTTATAATTCATAGTACAAGGTACATGATCATAAATATGCCTGTGTCAGCTCACATGAGGACAATGCAGAGGGCCCAGATGGATGGTTGCACATGCAGCAGGCTACATGACAGGAGAGGAACATGGAGCTGGGGAAACCCACTGTCGTACAGTAAGCAGTAAGCAAACCCACATTTGTCCTGGAAGCGAAGACATCGTCTCTCATAGTTTAATTTATTTACTACTAACACACTTGTGAAATGTGGTATTTCCAACTTCAAGCAGTGAGGCTTCCTTCTTCTGCCATTTTTTAAGAAAAAATTTAAAACTTTAAAAAAATAATTTCATACAAAGAGTTACAAAAACAAAACAGTACAGGAAATACTCAGATCTGACTTTTTACCACCATTTGCTTTATTACCTACACTTATACTCTCCTCCTCTCTCTACATAATTTTCCCCCTGAAGCATAAATTAGGGTAAGTTACATTCACTGTGGTCCTTTACTCCTAAATAAACTCATCTGTAAGTATTCATAGGGGACTGGTTCTAGGAACCCTGGTCACCAAAATCTGTGGATGCTCAAATCCCTTATATAAAATGTAGTATTTCCACAAAACCTATGCACATCGTCCCATATACTTTAAAACACCTCTAGATTACCTATTATAATATCTAATAAAATGTATATCTATATATAAAGTTTTTATACATATTTTTAAGGAATAAAACAAGAAAAATCTTCACACATTCAATGTGTTCAATATTTCAAAGAATATTTTCAATACAGGGTTGATTAAATCTACAAATGCAAAATGTATATGGAGGGCCAACAAAACTTCAGTATTCCCTATGACTAAAGAATTCTCTTAGAGTAACTGGAGTGAAGTTATCACTACCAAGTTTTAATATTGATATAATACTTTCATCTGAGCTTCCATTCATATTTTAATTTTGTCAATTAATCTAGCTATGTCCTTTATAGTACTCCTCCACCATACCCTCCACCCCTTTCCCAGGGTCTAATATATAAGCAGATAGAGAATTTACTTGTCATGTTCATTTATATCCTTTAGCCTAGAACATTTCTAACAACTTTCTTTGTATTTTATGAACTTTTAAATACCCTTCTTCATTTTTTAAAATAAAAATGAAGAGTAAAAAGTCATACTCTGTGAATAGAAACAGTTTTACTTCTTTCTTTCTAACCCATATGTCCTTTATTTCCATTTCTTGTTCTATTGTATTGGCTAGGACCTCTAGTACCACAATGAATTTCATTGATTTCTTTTATCTTTATTTCTTCTTTCTGCTTTCTTTGGGTTTAATTTGTTCTTTTTTTTGCTACTGTAAGGTAAAACTTCAAGTCACTGACTTGAAGTCATTTTTCTTTTCCAAGCATGTAATGATATAGCTTCTCTCTAACCTGTTTTTTCTTTTCTACTATAAGCATTTATTGCTATGGATTTCTAATTTGTACTTTAGCTGTATCCTAGAAATTCTGACATTTAAAAAATTATCATTCAATTCAAAATGTTTCCCAATTTCCTTTATGAATTCCTTTTTGATCTACGAGTTATTCAGAAGAATTTAAATTTTTATATATTTGGAGACTTTCATATATTTTGGGTATTTCTTTTTTTATTTATTTCTGAATCCCATCATTATTAAACAACAACAAAATTTTTTTGTACAATTTAAAATTTTTTTGTGATTTATTTCCTGAACCAGAATATGGTCTATTCTGGAGAATATCCCATGTACATAAAAAAAAAAAAAATACATTCAGCTGTTGCTGTTTATGTATTCCATAAACATTCAAAGGGTTAAGTTGCCAAGCTACATGACAATGTTGTTTAGGACATCTATGCCCTTACTAGTTTTCTTTGTCTATTGTTCATGAGATGGGTACTGAAATATTCAACTATAAATGGGGATAAATACTATTTCTCCCTTCGTTTTTATCAGTTATTTGCCTCATATATGTAGAGATTCTGATTTTAAGCTGAATATACCTACTATGTTATGTGAATATCATATCTTCTTGGTGAGGTAACATCTTTATCTTTATGTCTTTCTTTATCACTGGTAATATTCCGTGTTCTGAAGTCTACATCACCTAATGTTAATGTGGTCACTCCAATACTCTTTTGATTAATGTTTGTAATACACATCTTTTCCCGTTCTTTTAACTATTATTATCTTTCTATGCCTTTTATTTAAAGTGACTTTCTAGGGCTACAGATGCAGCTCAGTAGTACAACACTTGCCTAGTGTGTGCAAAGTTCTGGGTTCAATCCCTAGTGCTGCTATATAAATAAATAAATAAAGTGACTTTCTTGTAGACAACATTTGAGTGTTTTGTTACTAAACTGACCAACTGTTTTAACTTGCATGTCTACGTTTTTATCACTTACATTTTACCATTTTCATAGTATTGTTTTCTATGGTTGAATTAAAATCAACATTGTCAGTTCGATATTTTCTCCATCTGTTCTTTGTTGCTCTTTTTGTCTTTTTAAAAGTCAGTATACCTTCAAGTAATCTTATATCACCTTACATGTAGTATAAGAACCTCATGATAGTATTATTATATTATCTCTCTCTCATTTGTGCTACTGTCAAACTTTGTGTGTGTGTGTGGGGGGGGGGGTGGGCAGGCTACTGAAGATTGAACTACTAAGCCACATTCCCAGCCCTTTGTTTGTATTTTATTTAGAGAAGGGCGGGGTCTTACAGAGTTGCTTAGGGCCTCACTTTTGCTAAGACTGGCTTTGAACTCAAGATTCTCCTGCCTCAGCCTCTGGAAACACTGGGATTACAAGCATGCACCACCACTCCTGGCTTATGCTTAAACATTTTTATATGTGTTATAAACCCATAATACATGGTTACATATTTTGTAGACAATTTTCTTTTAGAGCAATTAAAAACAAGAATAAAATTTATTTTATATTTACCTTCACTTGTTCCACTTCCAGTACTTTCCAAATCTTTGTATAGATACAAGTTTCTTTCTGGTATTATTCTGCTTCTGCATGAAGAAATTCCTTTATATTTTTTATATTGCAGGTAATAAATTCTCTT